CTGGGCTGGATTCGAACCCACCACCTTGGGTGTATGTGGCTGGTGCCTTAGCCATTTGAGCCACTTGAGCCAACAGGCACCGAGCCCAGGAGAGGAATTATTGTGGAATGAAGTCAGATTCCTTTTCCTGAATCTATTTGGTCACCAGTGGATTCACCTCCGTTTTCTCATCTGTAAGTTGGGGAAATAGTAGCTACTGGGTAAAAAGATTAAGTTAGGTAATATATGTACACTAAGTAAAAAGTATTTGTTGTTACATTAAAATTGTAGGTAGGATTTCTACCTAAATAAGTATGTGATCCAGAAGATTTTCAGTGTAGTCCATTTACCCTCAAAGAATCAGAGATAGCCAGTCTCCTTAGACAAAAACTACGTATTGACCATTCCCTCTTCTTTTCCAGCAGGCCCACTGACTTTTTCTCTCTGTTGTAATGACTAGCCAAGGAAGGATCTATTTTCTTTTTCTTCAGGTTTCTTTATAAAATGGACCTTTGTTTTTACAATTCTACTACATCAGTGAATTGGCAAATCAAGGAAAAAAGGAAGTCAGCAGTTTTGTTTTGTTTTTTGAGATAGAGTCTCACTTTGTCACCTGGCATAGACTGCATCATAGCTCACAGCAACCTCAAACTCTTGGGCTCGAGCAATTCTCTTGCCTCAGCCTCCCAAGTAGCTGAGACTACAGGCACCTATCACAATGCCTGGCTATTTTTTTTTTTTTTTGAGACAGAGCCTCAAGCTATTGCTCTAGGTAGAGTGCTGTTGTGTCACAGCTCACAGCAACCTCCAGCTCCTGGGCTCAAGCTATTCTCTGGCCTTCACCTCCCAAGTAGTTGGGACTACAGGGCCCACCATAACACCTGGCTGTTTTTTGGTTGCAGCCATTGTTGTTTGGTGGGCCTGGGCTGGATTCGAACCTGCCAGCTCAAGTGTATGTGGCTGGCACCTTAGCCGCTTGAGCCACAGTTGCCGTGCCAATGCCTAGCTATTTTTTAGAGACTGGGTCTCACTCCCTGAGCTAAAGCAATCCACGGCCTCGGCCTCCCAGGTGCTGAGATTATAGGTGTGAGCCACTGTGCCCAGCCCTAAACTCAGCAGTTTTTGAGCTTATTTTTATTCTCTTTAAGAACTAACCATCGGGCAGGGTATGGTGGCTCACGCCTGTAATCCTAGCACTCTGGGAGGCTAAGGTGGGTGGATTGCCCTGAGCTCACAGGTTCGACACCACCCTGAACAAGAGCAAGACCTTGTCTCTAAAAGAAAAAAATAGCCGGGCATTGTGGCAGGTGCCTGTAGTCCCAGCTACTTGGGAAGTTGAAGCAAGATAAATGTTTGAGCCCAAGAGTTGGAGGTTGCTGTGAGCTATGACACCATGGTACTCTACCAAGGGTGACAAAATGAGACTCTGTCTCAAAAAAGAAAATAATTGCATCAACGTACAAAGTTATGATTTAATAAAAAAATAATTTAAAAAAGAATAAATAAATGAAGAACTAAACATCAGGCAGATTCGGTGGCTCATGTCTATAATCCTAACACTGTGGGAGGTCAAGGCAGGTGGATTGCTGAGCTCACAAGTTCAAGACCAGCTTGAGCCAGAAAGAGACTTGGTCTCTAAAAATAGTCCGGCTTTGTGATGGGCCCCTATAGTCCCAGCTACTTGGGAGGCTGAGGCAAGAGAACTGCTTGAGCCCAAGAGTCTTAGGTTGCTGTGAGCTATGACACCCTAGTACTCTACACAGGGTGACAAAGTAAGACTCCCATCTCAAAACAAAACATCGATTATTTTTTAGACAGTTTTGTTCTGTTGCCTAGGCTAGAGTGTATTTCATCATCATAGTTCACTGCAACCTGGGCTCAAATGATCCTCCTGTCTCTGCCTTCCCAGTAATTGAGAGAATGGGTGCAAGCCACCATGCCTGGTTAACATTTTTTTTGAGACAAAGTTTAATTCTGTCACCCAGGCTAGAATGCTATGGTGGCATTGCTCACAGCAACCTCAAACTTGTGGGCTCAAAAATCCTGCCTCACCCTCTTGATTAGCTGGGACTGCAGGCATCTGCCATAATGCCTGGCTAGTTTTTCTATTTTTAGTAGAGATGGGGTCTCACTCTTGCTCAGGCTGGTCTGGAACTCATGGGCTCAAGTGATCCACCTACCTCAGCCTCCCAGAGTGCTAGGATTATAAGTATGAGCCATCTCGCCCAGCCTAACTTTTTTTTTTCACTTTTGTAGACATGGGGTCTCGCTATGTTACTCAGGCTATTCTCCAACCCCTGGCCTAAAGCAATTCTCCTGTCTTGTTCTTCCAAAGTGATAGGATTACAGGTGGAAATGACTATGCCCAGCCCATTTATTCTTTCTAACAAGCAATGTCCCATTTTTTTTTTTTTTAACTGAATGGTAACTATGTACGTTAATGCACTTCTGGGGTACAGTGTGGGGTTTTCACATGCAATCCAAAATACTTTCATCAAACTGGTCAACACAGCCTTCATGTCATTTTCTCAGTTATTGTTTTAAAACATTCACATTCTACTCTTAGAAAGATTCACTTGTACCCCTGTAAGATAAACCTCAGAAGTGATCCCTGCAATGTCCTATAATTAATAATCTGGCAAGTGTGTCTGCTTTTATCCAAGGGCTTTAATATTAAAGCATTAATATAAAACCATAATGAAGCTTAAAATGTCTTTTTGTTGAAAGCATAATACTAATCTTTCTACTCTCATTCTGAGTTGCTAAAATGAATAGAATCTTTACTAATTTTGTATTCAGGAGTTTTATTGACCCGCTGTTTTTAGAACATGAAAACTGAATAATCCATATTACACAGAAGCTCAAATGGTGAATTTTGCACTTTCATATTTGCCTTTAATATTTTTTTTAAACAATAGGAAAAGAGGAAGAGATACAAAGCATTTTGATGTGTTGGCTGCATAATGGAGTCTGTCTTATATAAACCAAAAGATAAAAGAAGAAACAATGTAGATAGAAATGCCAAGGCAGGAAAATTTTCACTAAGTCAAGGAAAACCACCAGCTTGACAGTTTGTGTCTCAATCCTTCTCAGAAGAAAGAATGTTAAGTACAGTGACTGTTTTGCTTAGCTTAGTTGTAAAAGCAGGCAAGAGAAATCAGACACATTAGAATACACACAAAATCATACACAGAAGAAAAAAATTTAAAATTTAAGGACCTAAATATGTAAAAAGTCCAAGTGTTTTGACAAGTGTAACAGGTTATATTTTGGTGAAGTTAGTTATTTTTTACTAAGCTGCTTCACAGTAGACTAATCACTATCTAAAGGAAAAGGTAGGGTCACAATTATAGCAGTTGCACTCCTAGGAGGCCTGGTGTTATTAATCTATTAACTCATAGAAGTTGGATGGGTGGCTCGGCGCCTAGAGCTCAACCGGCTAAGGCGCCAGCCACGTACACCTA